GTTCAAAGTATCCCATGTGGCTCAGCATGTGATTCTTCATAACTTTGATGTTTCAAACTATACTGCTCGTCTCCATAGAAAGTCTAATTGAGTACTATAAGATAGCTATTTTTACGAATTATTTATTTATTGTTATGAAATTTGAGAAACGTTTCTGTTTTGTTCGTTTTATGTTTCTTCCTTTTACGTATATGTTTCTTCGTATCACCAGTGGGTTGTTTGATAACCAATGCGATATACGGAATTCAGCGGATTCGAACTGAATGAATGATATGTCTAGTGCAAAATCAATCAACTTCTTTAACTACGACTCAAAGATCTGGAGTATCATAATAGCTTTTTTCATACCCATTTACCTCATTCCTCTCCTTTCCCAGACTGTACTTCAGTCAGATGTTTTCATTCGAAGTCCACGCTATGTTTAGAACATGAGTATAAAACTTTGATTGATATTCAGTTTTTTATTTGATAATAACAGAGAATAGAACAAATCTTGGTATTTTTATCCGGTTCAAGTCACATTTTCAACAAATCGTGTTGTAAAGCTAGCATTCAGAAGAATCAGCCCCATACCAACATCTTAGACTATAAACAGAACAGTCGATCAGTTTGAACTTTATTCGCGCTTCCAAAATCCAGTGAAAACAGAATGTCCTAGTTCTAGCTCATATCAACGAATGTTTATTATATATTCGGTTTAAGTCGAGGTCTAGATATCCTCTGTTGTCCTTGCAGATCACATTTAAGTCAAAAAAGGAATTCCCAATCCTAATCCTGACGAAAGTGTTCAGCAAAACATCATCTTCTTTACTCTCGATCTCGATTACAAAAAAAAACAAAAATCACAACATCGGAACACTTACCTTTTCAATGATCAAACATTAAGTATAAAAGGCAAGATAATTTCATATCCAGCAAGTAATCTCCTCAGATGTTATGCAAAATAGAAAATGAAAAGAAATCCAAAGAAGATTATTACGCTATTACAAGACAGTGGGATGCCTCTCTCAATATCACTTACTTCTAATATCAAAAACAAGAAAAAAATGAACGAAAACAATACGCCTTTGTGATTACCTCATGTACTCTCATCACATCCATCACACCCTCAACACACCCTCGTATAGAAAAGCTGGAAATATCAAAATCTTGATATGGTTAACGATAATAACTGCGTACAAATAGATCTTCAGATCATGCTGACAAAATGAAGTACAGATCATATAATCTGCCTACGTATATCTCATATTTTCCGCAAAATTGTATTGGGGATCGAACTACGTTTCATATGTCTCTTGTCATGGTTCAAGCAAACTATGATTCGGATTGCACTTCTTCTCGAAGACATGTGGTAGGTAACTGATTGGTTTGTTGCAAGGGACCATATATGTAAAAACAAATAGCTTAATAACACTTTATATCAATAATAATTTGAAAAAAAAAGTAAAATGTACCGGTTGATGTGTGACCAAATGCACAGAGTTTGTATATAAGGGTCTGTAATACCTTATAAAGGCAATGTCCGTTGAGAAGAAATGGACAACACAGATATAGAAAACAATAGGAATCAATGAAAATATGAAGACAAATGAAAGGCAACTTTTCTTGATTAAAGTATATACTCTGAGGAAATCTGACTAGAGAAAGACTGTGAATGTTGTGAATCATTCGCTATCACTGCCTGTTGGAGATGGAGGGCATAATCCTGTATGGATGGTTACAGTAGCGTGACAGTTGATAGAGAATGCTGGATAGTAAAGTCCACGCGGTAAATTTCTGAAATGTTGACGTTTCCCTTTGTCTTCTATATTGCAACCTACGTGAATGCAAATATTTCATTTTCGAAACATCGTGGCCTATCGTTAACACTGAATTCGAGTGTTCCTCGATTACAATCCAATTTCACACCAATTATTGAGCCTGAAGATAAATTTTGATTAAAAGAACTACATCAGCTTTGCAACCTTTCTTTATTCCTCCAACTATTCTACTGTGATGGGTTTCATTATGCAAGTACCACGACCTTTCGCTATCAACGTACATACTCCAACCATGCAAATCTTTGCCTACAATATTTATGATTTGTTTCTATCTTTTTATATCAAATAGTACAAACCTAGCATAATATTTCTATTAACAGATGGTTGTGCAACACCAATGACGATATCTCCATTTCCATCATGGTCGTCAACAGTAACTTCCCAATAATGAACCCCCTGAGATTAAAAAAATCAGTTTGATGTTAACTTGCCAGCAGAACCACCTTAGAAAATGCTGTAGATCCTAATATCGTTTTATATTCCAAGCTTGAAGCTGTCAGAGAAGTACAGTCATTAGACAAAATAATATCTCTTTGTGATGGAGATTTTGTCAGTTGAAACCAGGCTACTGCAAAAACGGTTTATAAGCTCAGAAAGAATCAGAAGTCATTGAATACCTTGAGCAGTTTGTATGCAAATCGGCTCACTGTACAAACTCTCTCCAGCACTGTTATAAGCTTTAACTCGAGCATTATACACAGTGTTAAAATGAAGTCCATCAATCGTACAAATAGTATCCGGACCAGAGTAAACTTCCTTCAAAACAATAATAATAAATGATTTTAATGAGCCTATAGCTAACCTTGAATTTTCCATCATCTCTTCCGGAATCAATTTCTAAAGCAAATCCATCAACAGCACAGCCGTCATTTCGTGGTCGCCATACGATTGTCATGGAATTATTTTCTGCCGTACATTCAGTGGCATCAATGATTGGAGGTGATGGAACTGAAAAATGGAACAAATGAAGAAATGAAAATAAAATATTTTCACGACACTTTGGAACTAAAAAAATATTTGAAAGAAATGAATTCTGTTCATGTGGTGTGTGTATGGATAGCATGCATGTGCAGTTTTAAATAATAAATGTGTGAAACAATCACTACAGTTGGCTATGTTACGTTACCTCTGGAACAATCACCCCTCACACGGGATCCGGAAGCTAAAATTTATAAAAACCTTTATAATTTTACAATATTGTTAAGTTACTCCGTGTTTGAATTTGAAAAAAACCATTATTACCTTTCAACTGAGCAAAATCTAGTGTTTGGATTGCGTACTGCAGATGTTTCGTATCTAAGTTCAGAACAATCTCTGGATTAACCTGCAGAGAGAAAGGATTCATTCGGTACAATGGCATTCTATCATACCTCAGGCTTAGTTTTCATTTCATTATGCCAAAGAAAATCTTGACTACTAGATCTATGAAGTATAGCATTTGATATCTGTAATTGTATTTATAGAAGCGCTTCAAACGGAATATCTGCTTACCTGGAGATAAGTAGCAGCATCTTGCTCTTTTAAAACTTCTATACTAAACTGAATTAAAGCTGATGTCTGAGATAGTTTTGAGGTGCATCGTTGTATTTGCTGTTTTAAAGCTTTTCTCTGAAATCATTGAAAATAATGAAAAAGGTATGAATCGCTCATTAGATACAACCGCTTCACATGATGTGCGGGTGTAAAATGAATTCTGTAAACTGACGACAACTAACCTTAAATTCTTTTTGATCTTCAATATGCTTCATGAGAGTTTCTTTCCGCTTTTGAAGTTGCTCGATCATACTATCCACTTGTATACATACGGATGATTTAAAATCGTTACAAGAATTCTGTAAGTCAGACTTTAGAAATGTTCTTCGAATACATTCTTCCTTACATTAATTACATCATTCATCTGTTTGAGACGACCTATCTCTTCGGTTGCCGATTTTGCCTTTCCACTCAATGCTTGTAAAGTCGACGATAACTCACTCTGAAACCGAGAAATTATATTTTCTATTCAGGAAATAATTAGGAAAAAAATAAGTGACAAGTATTCATGGCTTTTTAGCGCATTTGATGAATTGTAAAAGACTCATGTAAGCAGATGTTCATTCTGCTTATTACAGTACAGTTAAGCTCATTTGCCTCTTCCCTCTTATAGAAGTCAAACATCCCTTCTTCTTTCTCTTCTATACTTAATTTTCTGGCCTTACGGGTAGGTCGGCATGTCAATTAGTGGTTGACGAAGAAAATGAATCAACCGGATGGAGCTGAAGACTGAAGAGTGACTCTTTCGGGGCTACAAGTCTTCACAGTTGAAGCTTCTGTCTTGCCTATCTCTTCTCTCTCATTTAGTTTCCTACTCTTTCTCTCTCTCATTTTCCTTGAGAGAACAGAAACTTTGTCATCTCAACTATACTTCCTTTAGTCGAATGACTTTTTAGTTTCAATGGATGATTCACAAATAAGAATAACAACGAGCTACGGAAGTCCCAGCAAAGAGTTTCTGAATTAGATGATCTGTCTACTAAATGAGAGAGAAAGAGAGAGAAAGTTCGTCAAATGAATGAATCAGAAGGCCAAATTCCTTCTTGCATTTGCATTACTTGCATTTTCATCAAATTGACCTTCAAGCTATAATAACTTCCGAACATGCACAGAAGCAATCAGGAGAGGGATCATCAAAGTTTCTAAATATAGGTTATGTCAGTCTAGTTACCATTCCCTCTTATCGGCCCCTTCTTCGCTTACTAGAAAATACGAAAGTAAGGAGTTGAGTGAAAGAACATAAGCCTTTAGATCGTTAATCAGATGGCCAAAACTCGAATTGAAATAGCCAAATATGGAAGAACGTGCTTTTCTCCAATGTTTCTGTTAGAAATAGTCATATATCATTGTGTCAGCTGGCTATTTGCTTTTCTTGACTAATACTAAATGACAGCACGTAAACTGAACAAGATGGAAATGGAATGATGAGCCAGATGTCATTAACTCAATTCATTAATCAATTCCAAAATCAACTGTACGCGAAATTGTTTTTTTTTATTCTGCTGATGCTGATGTTTCGTTCAATGTTAAGAATTCAAAGCATTCATCGGAACAAGTATTCAGTTGTGGACAAACAAATCTTCCGAATCGCATTTGAATCTATGAAAATCCATCAGGAATGACGTCAGATGCCAAAACTAAGAAGTCGTTCATCAAACGAAAAACGTTTGATGTCAAGAAGTATATAAAGTTGAATGAAAAAGATGTATTACTTGACAATCATACTTTAAAGCTTTAAGCTTCAGCTTCAAATCGTAAACGTTAATACTTTCCCGTCCCTAGCAACCGTTTATTAGCCAAGTCCACATCTCAACTTTTGACTTTTACTTCCCTTCTAGACCAATATTAGCATATTTAATTTATTTATTTAACATCCCCAATGAACATCCATGTCAATACTGTAATAGATCCTTTTTGAAATAAAAAAAATAAGAACAATCTGTCCCAATGTTTGATTTTCACATCCCTTAAAGGGTCACATCAGGCTAATCATATCTCTCTTCTCTTCGGACTGTAATTCATCTATTACTCAACCATTTACTTCATCTTCTTTCTTCGTTAGTGCTCGAAAGATCTGCCGTCATCAGAATTGCGCAATTTTGGCGAAGAATCTCAAAGAACAGCTGTGGATTTGTCAAGAGGTCGAAGCTGCCATAAAACAGTTCCGACATGACCTTTGACACCTCGTTGAAAACAAAGTGTTTAGATGAAGTCAAAGTTTATAAGCAATTAGAAATAAACTGATGTTTGACCATAATTAGCAAAGAAGCTGCTGAATGCTTGAATTTTGAACAACGAAATCGTTCCTTCCCTATATATATTGAACCATTGAAGAGGAGATTCACTTCACATGAACACGCTAACAAGCTTATAGATGGTATGCAGGATGAGCAGACGTCTAATTGATTTAATGATCAATAAAATGGGAATATGAAGTGTTTGTACTATTAATATTTTAAAAGAACAAAAGATTTTCGTGTCAATTCATTAATCTTTTCAGGTTAAAAGCTTTTCATCCGTATGAACAACACTTGTATTTGACTTAATTGGTTGGATCCATATGGTCCTTGACGACCATATGCATACTCAAACAAGCTTTTGCAAGAAAAAGCATTTCCTTTCTCATCTATAATAACATGGCAAAAGCTTAATTCTTATATATATATATATATGAAACATATATACTATAAGATGTTCAAAGTCAATCGCTCTATATCATCTCATTCAGCAGATGGAGGATATATGGAATATCCAAAAGTTTTTCCAATTTTTATAATCTTTTGACCTACAACTGACACGTGCGAAAGCTGACAACAACTCGTAAAATACCAAAAATACAATTTATGATCTTATATATATCATAAATTATATTAAATTTAATAAAAACAACCGTTCTGTTATATCTGTCAATTGGTCAAGAGGCTGTGTTGCGTTTACAATTCATTTCAAAATGCATTACACGTGTGTTACCACTTGGGCTTACGTCAATCTCAGCGTGAGTTTCATACCCAACTAATTAGCATATTCATTACTAATATAACAAATATGCAAATTAGACTCTTTTATATCTTTAAGCTTTAAGATATATACTATAGATATGCCAGGTGGTTTACGGTGTCCAATATGCATCTGGCAACAGCAATTGAGTTTCCTATTTTTTTGGATTAAAAATCTGTTGGATAGAAGCTATTTGAAAGCCGACAGAAAGTTGATTGAAAGGCTGAAGAGCAAATGATGTTTTCATAAAAACTCAAGTTGATCAGCTTAAAAAACTTCTGAACACATCTGATATTAATTGACCTTCGAGGTTCTATACTGTTGATGAAGCAGATACATATGGATCTTTAGCTAACTATAACTATATGAATATAGTTAAAGTGATAGAATGACTGAATCAGAAGTTTGCTACAAGCTATGTTGATCCCTCGAATGACGAAAAAACATCGATGAGAAGCATATGAGTTTTGTTGACTTGTTACCTGAGAGTATGTTTGTTAGACGATGTGTAATCCTTATATATTCAAAAGAATCTTTTATAATATCCAATTTCAATCTTTCAATAATTAAAAGACAGATGGGGGGGGGAGAGGATAAAACATTGATGTTTATATGAAAATTAGAAGTTGAAAAAGCAACTTCCGACAGATGTGAATCAACAACACGCGCACATCCATACACATCTTCAAAGCCACATTAACATCGTCTATAAACAAGAAGCAACAATATTCTGGTAAGATGAGAATAAACGATATGAAAATGAAGTTTGTGAGGAAGCATTTCTCGATGCATTTCCCTCATTCCAATTCATTTCATTGTATTGCATCTTCGTTGACCACTTTTTCACAATTTGTCGTTTCTTAAAAAAGACCGACAAACGATAAAGCAGCTCAATTGATACCTTCATTCAAGTTAATCAGGTAAACATATGTATCTGTCAATCTATTGAGGGAACCATTTATCTCAAATAAATGTAATCTAAGAAACGATTGAGCAGCCGCAGAACGACAAATGTATCAAATCAGACCATTCACACCTGTTGAACAACAAAGGCAACCCGACTGCACTAATCGAGCTTATTGTTAAAAGGTACGAAGCTTATAGCTTCTTTCCTTTTGACACTCACTTAACCGAGAGTCAACACAAACACGAAAAACAATGCAAATATCAGAAGAGATGTCATATCTCCACATCCAGCAACTACTAATGAGCTACTTCCCATTCAACCATATCTTTAGTCAGCTTTTCCTGACTTGCCCTTGTTCTGTCTATCTGAGAACAAAAATTTTCTGTTTCGACACATGTTGAACGTGTTGATCGTCTTTTGCGTGCCTTGTTACACCACTTAAAAGCTTTAAGGGGCTCTAAACAATGAAAAAGAAGAAATTCTCCTTGTTCTATCCCTTCTTCTTTACTTTTATTTTTTAACTATTCATATATATTATCAGAAGACAAGAGAAAAAAAGGAGGAAAAGAAGTAGAAGATGAAGAAGAAGAGGAGTAAGAGATGTTCGTTTGTAAGCCATTTATCACTAGACGTCTGCGATATACATATCTATGTAATATCGTTTAATGAAGAACAGCTGCTTACAAAAAGCTCATTCGACGGTTTTTTTTCTTTTCTCCAACCATCCATAGAAGGACATGTCAGCATTGTACCAGAGTTGTACACATTATCAAGTTGTAATGTGAATAGGAAGCTGATTGAGATGAACATTCGACGACTTCTTGAAGGTGTTAATTGAAATTGTGAAAGCTGCAGCTTTCATCTATCTCTTCACACATCGTATCATTTACTGAACAACCAAATGTTATTTTATTTTAAAACTTTTTTTGTTCTTCTCCATCTTCAAATTCATCAAAATCTAATGGAAAAAGCTTGAATAAGATGAATCGGTTGAAAGCTGGCAAAATCGTAATAAATTCCAAAATTAACAAACTTCTTTCATCAGAATAAGACAGACACATAGATGAGTAGACTGAGAGAGTCTGAAAAGTATGATGCAAAAGGCTGTTCCAATGGCTGTTTCGACATCTCTTGCAGATGGAACATCTCTCATTCCTTGTATTAAGAATAATGTACGAAACTGTTGACCCTATTGTTACATCACAATTGGATGTTAAGCTTATGAATCCTCATATCGTCATCATCATCATCATCGTCGTCCTACCCCTCCTAATGATTGTGTAATTTGTACAATCGTCTTCTTAGCAGATATTCTATCATTAGTTATGAAAATATTAGCAAATTTCACCAAGAAATATGATAAAATAATGAGAGAGTAGTAGGGTTATATCATCTGCTTCTGGATTAGTACCTCTCAGATTTCTCTCTTCGTCTATCTCATTTCAGTCTTTCCCCCCTCCTCACCTTCTTCACAAAATACTATTGGAAGAGAGAGAGAGAGAGAGAAGAAGAAGAAGATTGTGTTAGAAGAGAGAAACAGATTCTGGATGCCAAAAAAGAAACTGTCTGTTTCCTCGTCTCCATTTTCATTTAAGGACCTGCTAATTATCCAAGAAACAGACAAAAAAAAATGAAGACAAATCTGCCTGACAGGCCATACAAGGTCAAAACAGATGTTCAGAATGAAACGAGATGGTGAACAGGCGATCATTTCGCGGATTTTGGGCTTCTCCTCCCTTCTCTACAAATTAATTTTCATTCGGTTATTAATTCATAGGAAATGACACATCAACCGTCATCTGTCACCTGCGTGTCTCATCTTTCTTCTTCAATCACATTCAACGTTAAAATCTCATTAAAATTTATCTTTGGAATCTCTTTCAAATATCTTAACCATATCATATTGTTAATATGGCATAACCTTAAGCTTCATAGATCGCATGTTTACATCTCAATCCCCCCCCCTCCTCTCTTCTTCTAGCTCTACGATATGAGCTTCATGTTCCAAAGAAACTAACTGAGATCCGTCGATAAAACGCATAAAAAGAGCCAATTATGGACATTTTAGCTGTCGCTTAAGCCATCAAAAGCAAAAGCAAAGGTTCTAGTTATACCTAGTTACTGAGCAAGAATAGAGAAAGCAAGAATACGCAAATGAAAAGAAGAAGAAGGATGAAATATTAGTTTGAATTTTATGTTTTCAATTTGGATGAGTTCAAACGTAATTAGCATTTCAACTTGTAAGTCCTTGTTTTGGCCCTAAGGCAATTCGACTTGAGTAAAAATAAAACGTAATATCTAACGATACAATGGAATAGATGAAGGAGGAGAAGAAGAAGAAGAAGTTGGTGGCTACTTTTGCTATAAAACATTGATGGCGGTCAAAACTATTGTGAAAGCTAATTATCACTTTCAATAGAACATGTAAAAGCCTACTTTACTTCCCTCAGGGGTTTGTTTTCAAATACACAACTCACTTGTCTGTCAATTAATGCAGTTGACAAGCATGAACTACTCCCCCCCCCCCCCCTCCGTTTTCTCATAAATATTAAAATGGTGCGAGTGCTCTGATTTAACAAATTGAAACTCTCACCAACTTAAAATGAGTTAATTTGTTGATTATGTTGCGAGTGTATGCTGTTGAGTGAGATTTGAACTGAATATTGAACTTATTCGGAAGGGTCTGCGAAGTAACAAAGAAAGTTAATGCTAGCCTATATGCGTAGTAGTAGAAGTTAGTATATGATACGAGTGCTGGTTTATGTGAATTGGTATGCATAAGCATGCTCTTGAGAATGCCGGAACTAAACGTGGTTTAAATAAAATAACACAAATCCTTTTTTCTGATTACCTTAATTGGGAACAGGAAAACAGGTATGTGAATGTGTTTGTGAATCTCCTTCCCCCCCCCCTCCTACTACCCTCTTGTTTGAGTCAAAAAGAAATTTCCATAACCATTAAAGGATTGTGATGAAGATGGCTGAAAGTAGAATTCGCCTAAGATGAAATATCCCATGGAGGTGTCAATTGGCACACGACATCCTCATAAATGGACATTTTGGGGTTTTAGAAGGAAAACCTGAGAAATTCTTCTCTTTCTCCTGCCTTTTATTCTCTCTAATCTTCCGGGGCGATGGATTATGAAGAATTCTAATGTATTCTCCTTCTTCTCATATTGCATTTATTATCTTTAGCCTTCTAATGAAAGAGGTACAAGACGTTTAACAAAGAGAGACGAGTGAGACATTGAGATAGACCTGGGAGAGGGTGACCATCCTCTCTACCAACTTTCGCACGCAATAAACATGATATATATATGAAAGTTGCGAATATAACTATATCATATAGTATTATGTATTTATTACTACCAGTATAGTTATTATGGAGAATACAAGATATCATCATTTTCTGTACAATTTTAAGACACAAATGGCATTCATCTCTCTTCAACCAGAAGACCTTGACTCACCTTGATACTCATCTCACCTAATTGGCTAGTTAAGGAGAAAAAAATATTATTTCTTTTTTTACATGTTCTGACACACGTCTTCTCGTCACGTCAACTGATTGAAGAGGCCAGCTGGTCATTCTCAAATAGAGAGCATTGAATGAATGAATGCCAACAGTTATTTGATGTCTCCATAAGACAGCCGGATGATGATGTTCATGACAAAAAAGGTAAATGAACAAGAACGTGATGCAGATGTGCTTATAACAACTAATAACCACGTTTGATGTTAAGAGAGGCAGAGAGACAAGAGATAGAAGACGTCATGTTGAGATGCTTGAAGGCTATGAGAAAACAATTGGTGAAACAAGTCAAATCAGTAGACAATTTCTGTCATTCCATTAAGTCAAATTTACAGTCTAGTAAATCTAGTTGATTGCAACGATTAGTAATAGTTCCCATTGAAACATTAAAATCAACAGCAAATACTTTTTGCCTCAAATTATTCTTTCATTCGCCTCGCCTACACCCCTCTCCACCAATTAGTACTAACTAAGGCTTTATGGATAATCCATTAGATAATTACTTTAAGATTCAAATCAAACGATTTGTTCGACGTGCAAAGAAAATGAAAAAGAGCGTACCTTATGGGTTTTACAGGTAGCAGCTAATGATTGAACATCGTGATTTGCATGTCGAATATCTTGAAGACAAAGACAGCATACAGGCTGTTTACATGCCAGACAGTACATCGATAATGATTCACTTCTATGGACATTACAATAAGCTTCTCTAGAAGTTAATTGGATGGTCGAAGAAGTTCTGTAGTGTGAGGATAAGAGAATGTTATCAAAGGAAAGATCTTACCGACTAGTCGCTGCTATCAGAACATGCTTAGCTAGTGGTCCTCGCGAAGGATGTAAAGTTATTTGACATTCATTACAATAATAAATATCACATTGTTCACAAAAAGTTGTGGCCGGACGGATGACACCTTCACATAGCTGAGAATAGAATAATTGAGAAGAATGATGAAAATTGAAAAGCAAAACCTGGCAATTGGGATCCTTGGCGGGAGATTCTTTGGATTTTGGAGCCAAATGAGGATGAGAAGACAAATATCGAGAAATAACGTTTAACATGGCTATATTGCTTGGAGCTGTTAATATAGCTGATTCATCAGTAAAGTATGTGGACTTTTGGCATATTCCTAAGTAAATGAATGAATTCAATGAGCGTTTTTGAAACAAAGAGAACGAACCACATTGTAAATGAGCAGAATTCGTTGAAGGCGTCAGAATACTCGGCATTCGGAATTGTGATGGACCAATAATGGATGACGGTCGAGACACTAGATCGGAAGTATGTTTAAAATCTCTAATTAATATAGCTTAAAAAAACCTCTTCCATTGCAAACAACGACACCGGAATCTGTTTCAGATAGAACGGATAGCTTATCACTTTCATGATCAGCATCAGAAATACAAACCGATATAGTATCGGAGGCTTAAAACATAATATTAAACATCGAAAAAGTAAACGATGGCTTACCACTGCTACATTGCGGTGAAAGGGGCGATGAATTGAGAATATGGGAGAATAGGGATGGAGTTGATGCACCGTTCTGATGATTAGCTGGCGTTGATGGCCGAGGTGAAGCAGCTGAGGTAGATGGACCAGACGATGAGCATGGTTGGAAAACTTTCAAAGCACAACAGCGACAATAGCTGTGCCCACAATTCAAGAGAATGGGATCTTCAAAAAATTTTCGACAGAACGAGCACTTTAGCTCTTCTTCCATGGCATTCGGAAGGCTTGTAAAGTAACTGAAAAACTATTGAATGTGAGAACAAACATGAGGCTTAGAAGAGAGAAAAAACAAACGAGAACAATTAAAACGAAAAAAAAGGAATTTGTATGATTATAACGATCAAAAGTCGAAGTCATGATGAGTGTATATGTGTGTGTGTGTGTAGATAGCTTAATCAATCATAAATCGGCAGTTGGGAGGACTGAACTGACCGAAGCTTAGCTCAGATGTGGGTGACGGAATAATGGAATAGGTTCTGAGAAGTAAAGAGTATGTACTACATAGAGAGGATAAACGAAAGGAAAAGATCTAGAGAGGAAAGGGGGTGGAGCTTCCACTAACTGCTAGAGGCGATACGCGAAGAACGAAAGAGTGATGAACAAGAGGAAGAAAAGATGAAGAATAACGGAACTCATATGAAACTGGACCAAGAAATCTGTGTGGACATTGTGGAAAATTATGTGAATATATATTACAATTGTCTGAATTATGAGGAAGAAATGTGATAATGGGCGGACGGATGAAGAAGTGGTCAATGGGATAATAAGTTGGAGCAAAAATGAGAATTGTGCTTAAGGCATAGAGAATAGGCAGATGCAGAAGAAGATGAAGAAGATGAAAATCCAAAGTTTGAAGACAATTAAGAGAAAAGAGTAAAATAACATGCAGAGAATGAAACAGCTAAACAGAAAGAGAAACAGCTCAAGGCAGAGAGAAAGAGATGAAGAAGAGATGGAGCAGAATGAAAATGAAACTATAGAATGACCAATAAAGTATTATTTCTTAAATGAAAAGAGATCATCAGTAACATAACTCTTCTTCTTTTCGCACTTAGAATACTTGGAGCGACAAAGAGAGAGAGCAAGGAGGGACAGAAGCAAAGAAAGAGAGAGAATGAAGTTTATGAACAAAATGCAATAAGCTGCAAGTTCTAATGATCTGGGATATATAAACACTTACTTCCGCAGAGCCACTCGAATTTGCATAAACGTGGAAAGAAGCGTGAAGTTTTACGTGAAAATCAAATTATTCTTAACTGTAGACAGACGAGTGAAGGGTTGTGAATTTGCCTCTCACATTTGAGACTTTTTTAATCTCTCTCAATCTCTCTATGGATCTCTCATCCTTTCATTCACTCTTGATTTGAAAAGAACGAAATGAAGCGTGAGAGCAGACAGTTAGATGTTATCGTAACTTCCCACTCATCACTACATTTCTTCTTCTCGATATTCTGGTGGTCATCTGTGCCAAAGACAGATGAACAACAGTTCTCGTCTAATGTATAAAATGGGAGGAGCGAATGTTACTTGTCGACTCATCTCTCTAATCCATATTATATTTCAATATAACACGAAGAATGTTCATAGAAGGTCAGGAAGAGCCCAGACATTCCAGGTGGCTTACCATCTACACCATTCAATCAAAATTCTGTGAAGAAAAAAAAATTTTTCACAGAAAAAAAAAAAGTAAACAGAGCTTTTTTTTTCTTTCAGAAAACAATGACAATTCATAAATCCGGAAGGAGATTGAACGAGCAAAAAACTATAAAGAAGAAGACTCAAGAAAGGATGTACGAATACTAGTTCACAGGAACAGTCTTCCTCTCTCATATGTGTTTCATAGATGTAAGAAGAAAGGACAAAAAAAACGCTGAAGAGGATGTGGAAATGAATTTAAACTAAACGACAGCAAAAAATGGAGAGGCTTAGACCCACCAAGTAGTTTTTTTATTACCAAAAAGAAAAAAAAAACGAAGAAGAAGAAGAAGATGAGGAGAATGAACAAACGATGTGATGAGGTGATAAAAGATGGAAAAGAGGTGTTGATATAGACGTTGAAATGAATGCAATGAGGCAATGAAATGTCCTTTTAAGGGTTGTCGCTTTTACTTCCATTAAAAGTAATTGTTTGTAATGGATAAATGAAGGTTTTTGGCTATAACAATTCAGGTGAGGAAGATCGTCAGCATAACGATAGAGAAAATCCTCAAAAAACTGTGAACGAAGGTGAGAAGAATGATGACAGATACATAAAGAGAGAGAGAGAAGGAGTATGTCTGAGAGGACAATTTCCTATTCAAGAAAAACGTATACAGAGAGTTGAAAGAGAGGAAGAAGAGAGAATGTGCGAAGGAATTAAACGTAAGGATAGACTTGCAAGACAATATAAACTAAGAAAAAAAAAAGTCTTAGTGAATGATGTTTCCATATATATAAGCTGCATACGATAAATCTTGAGAACTAAGCCTCTGACCTAAGACAACTACAGGCATTTTGAATAATAGGAATATTATGTACGAAGAAAGAAGAAAATGAAACATACAACGACACCCCACCTCTATGTCTGGGTGATGCTATTGGCAGTACAACACATGCTGGTAATCACAAGTGTATATGTCCCAAAAGCAAAGAATAAGTTGACAACTTCACAAACTGCGGGAGACATGACAGAGACCTATAGGGGGGATTGAGGTAGAAAAACAGATGGACAGTCTTTTCTCTATGATGTCAACATCTAACTATATGATATATTGTTATAGCATAATGAGCTAAGTAAGAATTAAGGTCAAAAAATGGCTTGAATCAGCCAATTTATTTGTTCAAACAGGTTTTCAAGTGGGAAAGATGAGCTGTTAAATTCGTAAAACCGATATTGTTTGACAACAAATTATCGTTCAAAATCAATGAAATGGAAGAATAATTGAAGGAAATGAGCTCATTCAAATTAATGAAAAAGTCCTTATTTACATTTGATAATATGTAAATTCTGCAACATATAGATAGTTTGAAGAATTCAGATGATCATCATCGCATACTAACTATGTGCCCGATGATGGGGTTATACGACAAGATGGGTATGGCAGGACGTAATATGGAAACGTTCAACTAACAATAGAAGTTAATAAACAAACAACAAAAGCAGTTATGATGATGAAAAGAACATTAAGAGAAGGTCATTTTGTGAATTTTATTACAAAATCTTCTAATATCCAGAATACAGTTCAATTCATTAATGAATTGGAAATGAAATGTGTTCATGGTTCTACTGAGGAGAGGAGGGATATGTGAGTGCCTTATGAAATGGCACCGACGGAAGCGATCAGTTCACCGGAACCAAGTAACAGATGATGTAAGCAGTTTGTTCATGTCACCTTTCTCATTCTCTATATATTTCTCTAGTTCTCTTCATTTTATTACCTATTTACATCATCAGGCTTCTTCCTCAATCGAAGCTTTAACCCCGTAAGGGATATATTGACGAGAATTTAATGATAGACTAGAAATCCCTGTGAATATTGACTAAATACGAACGGTCACAACCAATTGCATGGCGAATTGAGTCAAAAGCATTGCCAAATAGAAATGGGAGAAAAGGCACACATAAATCGAGAGCGATCTGAGCCTTCGCTTGGCTGCACATCTAATTAACAGGTGCCAACAGCTTATGAAATGGGCTCCTAGCGGCTCCATATACGACAAAATGGATAGAGAGATTGACAGTAAATTAAGGACATGAACCAAAACATAAAATAGTCTTGAAAGTAGAGAGAACGAGACGAAGAGAGGTCTCGAAAGATATGTGACCACAACCGTTCGCAACAACTACAAAATGAAAATGAATGTATGCAAGCTTACTGCTTTAGCCCAGCTTTCACCACCTCCACGTCAATCTTACGTGGAATTGCGAAATAGAAAGAGCTAATATTATAAAATGAAAACCAAAAACTATATGTTTCTATAGCTGAGTAAAATGAAATGTTTGTCTTATTCTATTGGAGAAGAAGCATGCCTTACATGGTCAGTCGGAGGGGATCTTATTTCGATGCATCAAGTTGAGTTCGCGAAATAGATTATATAACAAGAAAAAGAATGATTAATAACAAAAAGAATAATAAAGTAATAGTGTTCAAGAGAAAACTGAAAAGCCAAAAAGGGATGCAAAAGAAGATGTGAACGAAGTAGAGAAGAAGAAGAAGAAGAAGAAGATGAAAAAAAAACGAAAAGCTGTTGTTCTTTCGGTTCAATTGTTCATGACAGTCAATGAACCAAGACCACGTTTGGCTGGCTTAATAACATAGAAGGCCAGCTAACACAACAGGAAAATAGCCAGTCTCGTAGAATACGAAGAAAAAAAAACAATTGTCATGATTATTTTGGAGATTGAGATGAGTAAGAAAGAAGAGAAAAAATAGAAGGAAAGAGAAAGAGGGAAGAAGAGAGAGAGAGAGAGAGAGAGGGAGGATTGGAGGAAGGCAAATTTAGAAGGGAGAATACAGAATTTATAATAAGATATTGCTTATATGGCTTTAGAACATTGTGGATGAACGAAGTCAATGGAGAATAACTTCAATGAGTTGGACAGACTGATCAACATCCATAGAATTAAAGTAAAAAAAATAATATTTCAAGCTGATTTCTCATCAAGTTCACAGAGAAATCAATAGGGCTTGTGTTGAATGTGATGGATATCAGTGGGATAGCGCAATGGCACAGATAAGACTGATGGTGTTCGTCCGGAATTGACAGGCAGAACAAGCAACGGAACATCCGATTAACCGCTAGACAGACTGGAGTACGTTTTCTTCTTTTTAATGAGGGTCAGTTTCTTTCATTCTGCACTCATTCCTTCTTTTCCTCTATCTCTCTCTCTGTCTCTCTCTCTATCTGTTTGGGGGTAAATCGTAATTCAGCTGCAAATAAGAAAGAAGGCGGAGCTTGTACAGATAGGCAGAATATTGTGCTGCAGTCACGCCTACCTCCCATCATTCCAAAAAGCTTTTTGGAGAGCAGTAACAAGAAAAAAAAATTTCCACGATAACTAAGTAAGAAATGAGAACGGAGAAAATAAAAACGACTGGAGGAGAAGCAAATGACTTGTTCAAGAAATGAGTGAAGCTAATCATAACTGACTGACTTCCAATAACAGGATTTCCATCCGTATTGACAAATAGAATTAAGCTTTGATGAAAACTATCAGTAACACCATTTTTG